TCGCTCTTTCCCTACTTTTTCATCCCTTGCATACCAGTATTTTTATTTTACTTAAAATTGTTTTAAAGAAAAATAAAATAAAGTGAAAATGGAATATTTCGAAAGGTTCAATATTCGTCAAAATAAGATGAGGAAAACGAACCTTTATTAAACATGGTTATCATCATAATCAAAGGTAACTGTTACGATGGGAATTTCAGAAAACTCTAAAGCATTTCACAGACAGTTGATATTCTTCTGAAGTATGCGGCTACATTCGACCTAAATGAAACACGAAAAGACGTGACCTCTTGGAGATACAATAAATGAAAGAGCAAGCACCTAACAACAAAATATTAAACATTTTCTCTCAATTTATGCAATTTGTTCTCGACTGGAGGTACTATAGAGATCCGATCTCAATGGGATAGACAGTTAAGTTTACGAACTCTGATTCCCGGCACCTTTGTGCAGTCAGTCAGATGGCGAGAAAGTTCCATAAAAATGTCCATTTTGCACGTTTCCTTAGCCCGTAGATTACTACAGTCGACATATCAATGTTGAAGTAGATAGCAGAAGAATATTAGAATGCTAATGCAAACGATCTCGTCGATTTATCCATCCCGAAGGTACCTACGCACACTATTATAACGCCGGCCGCAACGAAGCGCAGTTGACAAACTGAGATCACTTTTTGCAATTATCCTTATCGTTCTCTGTGTTCGGGAAAACGACGTGTAGTCGCGACAACTCCACGATTTATAAACTAAGATAGCGGCTCGAATATCTAATGAACAGCACGGGTGACAGCGCAAAAATTCTATTATTTATGCGAAATTCTTACAGCGAATGGCCAAACGATTTCTCGAAAAAAAAAAATAAAATAAATGACAGGCAGACACAGCCTTTGTACTGTCTACGTCCCTGAGAAAAATGTACTTACAGTGTTTCCCACTATGAGCGAAACTTACGATATTCTTCGAAGCTACGGCGTGTTCTTAATGCAACTGAATTTGTCTTAATAACCTTCACAATAATCGAATGACGTCCCTAGACAAAAAGTCTCTCAGAGTCTCTCAAAGTCTTTCAGCGTCTCTGCGAGCGTCTCTCACAGTCTTTCAGTTATTGCCTAGGTGTTTTTATGGATCTCTCACATCCAATATGAGAGACTCCAACGATAAAATTGTTAATTCAGAGATTCGAGTCTATCGTAGAAAGACTGGGATCTCTGAAATATTTTGAACTTAGAAAATTTTAACCATGTCTATCGAGACACCACTCATTGAGAGATTCGAGTCTCTCGTTCAGAGACTGGATACGAAATGAGGATCTCTCAGCGACACCAGAGAGACTCGACGAGAGACGGAGAATAGAGTCTCGCTTTCAGAGACTCTGAGAGACTGAGCGTTTTTATCTCGGGGTACCTAGGATGTTATCTATTACGTACAAACTATTTACAAATTTTAATAATTTTTCGCCTTTGTCTACTGTGCACCAGACTGTATTTCGTTGAAATCAGTAAAAGGTTTCCTGCATTTAAGGAAAAATAATAAAAATTATCAGTCTACGAAATTAACAAAATGGAGTCCCAATTAATCACTGTTTTCAACAAACCTATTCAGTGGAATTATTTCTGTAACACCGAACAAATAGTCCTGGCAAGGACACACAAGTGAATGTATTCACTTCCCACGAAACGATTAATTTGCTCTTGGTCTTGTAGTCTTGGTCTTTTGCAAAAGCAAGACCAATTTTGTCATTACTATTTCAGAAGATGATCCTATTGAACGATCAAATATTCAATAAATTATTTTTATTACCTACAAAACTAGTTGATAAAACGTGAGAATCCTTTGTCTTTATTTTTATCCTTAATAATGTGCTGTGTTTCTACTTTGTTTCTAATTTATTTGTGACGTACTGTACACCTACATATTGTACCTACTGTAATAATTTCATGTATGTCGTGTGTTGAAAATCTCACGAATGGTTTATGTTCTGGCGGAATCCATTTCACAAAACGATTTTTGCATTCTTTTTGTTGCATATACATGCCGACCTACAATACACTAACAAGGCTGCATATAAGTATCATGACTCTCGTGATCATTGAGGCAAGTCGTCATTTTTATGTTTATAACTCTAAATTTATTTCGCTTTTGATTGACGTTGATTAATGAAAAGTTATATTCGTCTCAATAATTACCTACATCCTTCTTTTAAATCAATGTATCATCAGTGCTAGTAATTTTTATCTTTTACAACGAAATGTTAATTGTATAAAATTCCTAGGAAATGTATACAATTCCGAGACTATTTAGGAAATGTATAAAATATTGTTTCAAAGATCTTTTAATACACACATATCCTGGGAAATGTATACATTTCCTAGGAATTGTATGAAATTCCGATATTGTACTAGGAAATGCATAAAAGTAATGCTCTGTGTAAATAAAATTAATAAAATACGTTAGTAAACTGATAATCAGTATGATCTGTGTTTACGCGGTTTTACTACGATGTATATGCATTGGTGACGTTATTGTTTGGTTAGGTTAGGTTTGGAGATGTATATGAATTAGTGACGTTATTGTATGGTTATTAAGTAGGTTTATGACAGATTTCCTAGGAATTATATACAATGACGGATTTCATACATTTCCGGTAACATATATGTCAATAAGTTCGTGAAGAAAAAATTTTACGCACCTTTTTAAATCATCATCATCATAAACTCGTCTATCCTGGTTAAACACATATCACTCCCACTCTTTCCCATCCTAAGCTAGTCGTCGCGTTTCCCTAAAACTAGAACATCCCACATCCTTAACTAATTGTGAGCAATTATGTTAAATCAAACGAACCTAGCTTTTAATGCTACCTTAGACTATTAGGAAATTACAATAGAAAAGCCTTTTATTGCAATTTTTAAAAAAATTCCCCGAGGAGTTCTACCACATATTTGCCCTTCTTACGTAATTCCAAATCTAGCTATTATCAACAAATGAGGAAATGTAAAACATACACTTATTTAACAACAGAAGCCTCCTTCAATGTCAAGACGCTTGATGATTCCTATTCATCCTATAATTAGCTTCCTTGCTTACATTTGCCTTTCTATTAAGATAAACTTCGCTATTCCATCTTACTGAGCTCTTTTCAAAGCCCTATTTACATTTCCGATGCTAAATATTATTCAAATTTACGATTCAACGCTCAGAGTTTGATAACAAAATTAATTAACTTTTTGCATTAAAATTGTTGTACTAAATCAAATATCAATTCTCACAGTTTTTTTAAAAACGAAGTATTCCAAAATATACACTAGCTATAGCTACAATTTCTGTAGGAAAATTGTCCTTATTAATATTGTCTCAAAATATTCTCTAGTATTTAGAAGAATGTACATGTTATATATCGGTATATTTCACTGAGCTTTCAATTTCTTTTTATATTTAAACTACTTACTATTTTTTATATACTGTGGGGGTGATCCAAAGCAATTAGAAAAGCGACAATGGAGTGAGATGGTGAGACAATTACAAACTACCTTTAATATTCACCACCGTTAGTGTATCAGTTCAAGCACCTACGGCTAGTTCTTTCATATTTGCTTTTTTATTTCTTTTTTGAATCACATTCGAAGCCCGAAGCAACATAAAGCGACAACGGAGCGTGATGGTGGCATAAATGTGAACTACCTTTAATATTCACCTCCGTTAGTGTATCGGCTAGTTTTCTAATTTTTGCTTTTTTGAATTAAGATCATGAATCTACCAGCATCGATAATAAATAATATGTATTTGTATGTGTATGTGTATGTATAAACGTTGGTCATTGCCATAAATGAAAGAAACTAAAATTGTTATTGCTTCCCTAATTTATTCTGCATCCATCCTGGAAACATAAAATGTGTTCTAATATTCAGCACTTAAGAAAACCTGATGAAGCAATAGCGGAAAACCTCCTACGGAGATGCGTTTAATAACGCTCCATTAATTACAAATTATAAATAGGTTTATTTTCAATAGCAAATAAGAAAAAGCAAATTTCACAGTCTACACTAATGATTTACCGCTATGAACAGTGCGCTGCTACAGAATTTATTTTCTAGAATTTGTTACCTACAGTAATTGCCCTCATAAAATGTTTGAAGTACATAATATTTTGCCAGTAACTAAGAAGATAACAAACCCAGTAGGATTTTAAAGCATCTGCACCCTGCACCGGTTTTTCAGAAAAATAACCTGCCTTATATTAATATACTAGCTTTTCCCCGCGGCTTCGCTCGCAGAAATTAATATTGTTTCTCCATAAAACCATTTAACTCTCAATTCACCCTGACAACGTTTTAATTTTATGTAATATTGCCATCTTAGATTTCAAATACAAATGTAGCAACAACATTTCATCCTTAAGGGTTGATTTTTAAAAATTGCAAAAACACGTATTTGCTTAATTTCCACAATGAGCAACCTTCGATTAAATCCTAGTACAAATAAAGTATACCCCATGGAAACGTTGCAACCTCTTTTCATTTAATTAATAATATCAAACAGCATATATACCAAGTTTCAAGTAAATTCAACCACAAATAAAGTATGTCCCAAACAAAAATTGCAACACCTTTTTACCCCTCCCCCCTTTGGTTGATTTTTAAATTAAATGAGAGGCCATTAAGACCAAGTTTCAAGTAAATCTGACGACAAATAGTATATGTTCTATTTAAACATTGCAACTCCTCTTCAGCACTCCTCCCCTCCACGGGAACGGAATAAAAAGTATGTATCCTATGTTCTTCTCCTGGTTGTAAGCTACCTCCTCACCAATTTTCAGCCAAATCGGTTTAGCTGTTCTTGAGTTATTATTAGTGTAACTAACAAGACTTTCTTTTATATATATAAGATGTCAAGCAGAAACTATTTGTGCAAGAAAAAGTATAAATTTTGAAGAATTACATCAATTGTTCTATCATTACTGTTGGTGACCGATTAAGTAATTTTGTGCTTTTCTCTTTACAGGATTCGTAATTTGACAAAAAAGGAACACAAGTTTGCTCATTCACAAAGTAAGTACAACATCAAAAGTAGTTTAAAATTTACGCTTAAGTTATTTCAATTTAGTTCGAATTTTCTTGTCAAGTTGGTTAGAATCCGGAAACGGCGTCGTCAAAAATAGCCTAATAACCGTAACCAGCGATCTTGAAGTGGTTTATCATTCGCATAAACTGACCCAAATTTCTTTCACAAAAATAACAACACAATAGGGCTTTGTATTGAAGAAGTAAGAGCCAAATAGCAGGTGTTATTCGTTAGTCGAATAACCGACCTGAGATCGTTTAAGTAGTTCGCATCGGGAAACAACAACGAGCAACGGTCACGAAATTATTTATCTGTCATGTTTGCGGATCATCTCGGATTTCAGGCCTTTCTCCAATTGTTTACAGTTACGTATGATAATCAGTTACCATTTATATTATACAACAAAAAAGAATTTAATAATAGAAGAAAGAATCTTCTTAGGTTTACCTCGTACGTAATATTTATTCAACTAGCCGAACAAGAGGCAACGGCTGTTTTTTTTTCTTTCTGCTTGCTATTGACCTAGATATTTTTTATGTTTCTCATCCAAATTCTGCAAGAATACGTTGAGAGAATTATACATATTTATGAGATAACTGACCGTTCAGCAAATATCATCCGAGAAGGCGAAGTTTTAATCTCTAACGAAACAACAATACATTTCGAAGATCCATTTGTAGCATCTTCAGATAAACCCACGCACGAAAAACATCTACTTATGCAACGGCCAAAAAAGGCGGGCAGTTAAAAGGACCCTTGAAAAGTAACATCTCTCTTCCTTAAAAAAATATTTGCATGACAAGGCTACATCAGCTCTTTAAAGACTTGATTGCTAATAAGATTTACTTAACAAATAATGTTGGGCATACAAAAGTGTACACCTAAGTACACAGGGTGTTCCAGAATAAAGCCACTTCATTCATTCACTGTCTACTTAACGCTGCATAATCATCTCCAAGATAGGTACTATGTTACCATCGATATAGTTACTTTTGTAAACATGAATGTAGTAAACAATATTTGAACAATTATTATTTGTGGTGACTAAAGGAATGGATAATAAAGACAAAGAAATTTAATAATTTAATAAAGGGGCGAGCGTGTACACGCGTATGAAGTGAAACTTCTTTAGATTGTATATTAATCGTAGTATCTAAAAAAAAAAAAAAAATTGGCCTAAACTATTGCATTAACTAATTACTAAACACCAGAAAAAATCAACTTTATTTAGAGCGGACGGATGTGGAATATTGGTTTAGTTTTGTTTATAACTTTTAAGCTTGAAGCATACAAAACTGCTGAGAGAAATCACAAATCAAAAGAAACAAAAACAAACTCATATGCAATACATATACAGTACAGCGAAATGGCAATTTTCGGATTATCGGTTGCTACTAACAGGTTAGCTTCTGAAACTTATTAAAACGACTCCTTTTGAACATATCCAACAGGGGTCACACGTGCGCGTGATGCGTGACGCGTGACGCTGTGACTCATCGTGACGTTACACTTTTCGGTTTTATACTCTAGTAAATTTCCTTCCTGCCGTCGATAAAGAAGTTTCACTTTATTAATCCCTCATGGAAGTACAGTAAAAGCTCTTTATTCGCGTGGTATACGTTCCATAAATATGCCGCGAATACAGAAATAGTAAATATGGAATGATAATTAGTATGGAATCATAGGTGATACGTTCTAAGGTTCCGAAATAAAATCAATATGTTTTAAAATAAAATCAATGTATTGATAAATTCGCAATTAAAATTAATCGTTATAGTCAGCTTTAGGCAAGAAATTAAAAAATTTAGTGATTTTTTTCTTGTTTTGAATTTTCAAATTAGTCCACTCGGTTGCATCCTTTATAAAAGCTTGCTCGGCACGTACCAACAGTACATAGTCAAAAGATGCCGATACATTAAAAGGTTTCAGTTCTACACGCGCCGTAAAGTAAAAACATGCTTATCGGTTCTAGATTTCATGAGTTTAATGTTTGGAACAAAGGTTTGAAATTTTGTAGTAAGATAGATAAAGCTTTGTTCTAAAGCCTGTCGAAGCCCTTTTTTTAATTTCTTAATTTCTATTGAAAATACGTGTCCTATAAGAAGCATCAACTTTAAGCACTTGTAAAAGCCACTAATGACCATATTATTGAAAACTAAAAACGTGCCGAGTTAGTGTGAACCTTTGTCTGTTGCCATACAAAAAATCAGATATTTATCTCGCAACGTTAAATCACAATGTTTAGAATAGAAATCCATATTTTCGGAAAAATTCACAGTAGCCACGAGCGGCCTATTGCGGTCAATCCCCTTAATAAATAACACCGAATCCTTTTCTGTTTACCGATTGCATCCGCGAATACAGGCATTGGATTGCAATTTTTTCACCCGCGAATAAGGAAACCGTGAATAAGGAGCTTTTACTGTACAAATTAATAATTTTGACGGTTTTCGTTCTTACTTGTGGGATGGGACCTTTCGGCCACAAGGATTTCTTTTATGGATCTCTAAGAAATTGGGAAAAACTGATAGGGTAGGCAATTTTGAGGTACGTTAAGGAAAATCCATGTACAATGCAAAGGGCAATTATGCATCCGTCTGGCATAAGAGACCTCCTTTAGCTCGTGCAGGGTCATGCGTCAGCTGGTTGATAATAATAGAAGTGAACTCGATATATTTAACACCACTCATGTACCGTTCTGACATAAGATCTTTTACACACTCACACACACTCACACATACTCGCACATATCACATATCATACACACACACAAGAGCACAACTATGAAACAAATCGAAGTCAGTCGCTGTGTTATGTGTCGAGTGTCATTGGAAAAGAGGAAATTAAAGTCAGATGCCCTGGAATGTAACTGTTCCGTTGCGAAGCCGTTCAGTTAGTAGCCAATAAAGTGCACATTGTGCTTTTACTTGAGAGAATGAAATGAAGTGCGAGAGAAGCGAAATGCAGTCCTCAGGATGATGTATGAAAACAGTTTCATCTGTCTGTATCCATGCCCGAAAATCATCGTGAAAAAGCATTAAAAAAACCCTAGGGTTCAAATGCGGTTTCGGAATAAAAACTGAGAACGAAACATAAAAACAAAATACGCAATTAACGAATGAAGATCATAACTGATATGGTAAAAAAGGCAGCTCTGTATTATTTTTATTTCGTAAGCCACCACCAACTGTTTATTCAGATGGTATCAAAAGCTAAAGAACGGGCGAATATTCCGGGCCAGCTGCTTTGCTCATTTTTAAAAAATTGAGCTTTAGTTCTATGCAGTGAGATTTATTACAGGCAGCTTCCAATTTTGTCATATAAAAAAGGTTGAAATTACGAAAATCTATTTGGATCAAGCTTCATATTGGAGTTCAATTATAGGTATGAAAAACCAATAGAAAATATAGTAATGTTCGTGGGTTTAACAAATTAACTTTTAAGAAGAGAACTATTTATTTACACTAATTATTATTGAACTTAAAAGCACTATTAAATTATTACTAAACTTTATTTATTTACACTACTGTTAATATTCACTGTTCTATTTATTTCACTTCTATCACTGTCAATTTATCTCTTGATTCACTTCTGCAACGGTCAATTTATTTCTACTCCACTTCGGCGATCGTCTCTTCCTTTTTATACTCCCTTGCCTCCTTTCGGGAACATTCTCCAGCCGTTCAGAGAAGTCTCGTTTTTATTGAGCGGTTTAATTGCTTTCCCGGAACGCACGTACGACACACACGTTTACAGATACAGCGCACATGAAGAAAAGCGCCCGCGGCTAGTCGGCGAATCGATAAGCCGCTCAAACACACGTATGCCAGATCGCATACAATCACGCTCGTGGTTGCTACAATATGAAGAAGAAAATCACTTAGTTTCTTTCACAAGTTCTATTTTGTAGTTTTTCCGCAAAGACTAGTACTAGTACTCGTACCAAGTGTTTTTTTTTTCAAATTTTATGGTTAATATGTTTCACCAAACAAATGACATTCAATAAAGCAGATAAAATTTTTGAATCAGTATTGTCCAAAAAGGAACTGGTAAAAGATCATCGGAGAAAGTATTATAGACTTCAAGAAGCCTATAAGGTTTTGGTGTAAATTTAAAGGGTCTAATATTTGGAACAGCAAGTAACCAGTAAGCACATAAACAAACAGTTAGTGATAGTAAATATTTTCTAAAATAGAATTAGACAATGTTTGATATATTACTACAAAGAACGTAGGGGTATAAAAACGATATCCTTATGGACTTTCTCGAACATTTCTGAATTACACAAAATGTCTACAGATGGCGTTCGCTACACTGCTTGTAGTATTTCATAAAACGCTGCAGACAGCAGATAGAGTTGGACTATATTCTGTCGGCGTGTTGACGAGATCCAGTTAGATAGAAATCGCGATCCACAACGTACGGCGTAGATGGAATATTGACTTTTTGTGTCGTAAATCTGACTGCATGTGCCAACACGTGCTGTTTTCAAATAAAATGAGACCTGCATACACCGCTTACATAAATTACGGGTGTTTTTATCGTTTTTGACGCCACGGAATATATACCCATATGATAATTACTTAACTAGCTTGCACGGATGGAAGGGTCTACCTCTAGGGCAATCTAGAGCCAACAGCGCGTTAAAGAGCCTCTACAAGAGTGCTTTTAGGATAATAATAATGGCTCCTGTGCCACACGTTAAACCGGGAGAATAATATTTGCTTGACGTATCCGAACAACAAACTACTGCTACTCATTCATACAAGAGAAAATAAACTTGATGAAATTCCTCCGCGTTTTCGGAAGCGAAGCACATAACGGAGAGTTTTGTCATGTTTGCGTGAACAAACACTGCTCGCGCTGTGGCTGAAGTATGCTATAAAATCACTCTCTTCAAATCGATGCGACATACGTGACGTAAATAATGTCAGAACTTTCAAAATTATGCTTCAACCGTTCCGAAATACCTAAAAGAAAATGTCAC